TGGGGAATGTCCTGACACAGGATTTTCTGAGTTCTGGTTTTGGAAAATATCCTGACAGGATTTTTGAGTTGAGCTTCAACCTCCATTTTGATTTTTAGCCTAACACTGAGTGCACTTGAACTGCCAACCTTCTGTTTACCAGACCAGCACGTCAGTGGTCCCAGCGAAAGCGAGGACCTGTTTCTGTCATAGATTCCAGTTCCTGGTGGCAGTGGGGGTATTAGAGCTGTCTGCGGACCCTCACCCTCTCAGAGCAACCGACGGGCTCCAACTGCCCACCTTTGTCAGCAGTGGGTGTGTACCAGGGCTCGTGGACAGCCCGCTTTATGCACATGACACGACCTGTCTTGCAGAAAGTGAAGAGCACTTGAAGCACTTACTGCAGAAGCTCAAAGACCACAGCCTTCAAGAGAGATTACGTCTCAACACCAGGAAGACAAAACCCGTCACCACTGGGCCAAAAGGCAACATCACGGTAAGTGGAGGACAGACTGACATTGTCAACAATCTGCTCTAACAGTGAGAAGGAGAAAGGGGGACATGTCCAGGGCTCTCCTGTAAGCAAGGACTGTCGTCCAGGCTGAGCGAGGACACTGAGTGGCAGACAGGTCACTACATGAGCTGGGAGCTGGGGTAGGATTTGAACTCAGGTCTGCCTCGTTCACGTCTCCTTTCACCCACAGGCTGCTGCCTGCCCCCTGGAGGTAAATACTGGCTCTAAGGAAAACTCAAAACTCATTGCTGCCCCCTCTCAGAACTGGCCCCCAGCTGACCCTCGAGGGTTCTGAGGCTGCAAACCACATGGGAGGAGACTGTCCTCTTCCCCGGAGCTTCCTCAGAACCACTGGCGTTTGTTTGGCCCAGCAGCTCTGTCCCGGTGGGAGGGGAGCGTGGGGGGTTGGAGGGCCTGCCTCTGCACCCTTCCTTCCTTCTGTGGAGGGGGTCCCCCAGAGCCCCCACCTCAGCAGCACCCACCAACTGCACAGGTCACCTCCAGGCAGGCCGCAGGCCCCTAGCCCTTTATGGGCTGTGGTCCCCTCGCTTCCTCCCCTCAGGGGCCATCTCATTAGTATGCAGGCCTTCCTCTCATTAAGTATTGATGCTCCCAGCATTCATTTTTACTGTCCCTGGAAGAGGGAAAGGTTAGGTCCCTGAAGGGCCTATTCATACGTGTGAATCCAGCCCTGGGGCTTAAAGGGACTGGGGACAGGGTGGGGGCTGGAGAGTGCTGAGGCCAAGGGGAAGGGAGGGCAGTGGATAAGAAGGCCCCCCCCAGTGGCCCTCACTCCCACTCCCCCAAAGGACACACACACGTGCACATGCTCTCACATGTACTCACACACATCCACACCCATCCTCTCACACTCTCTCCCCCCCCCTTTCTCTCCTCTCTACCTCTCTCTCCTTTCTCTCTCTCCCCTCTCCTCCCTCTCCTTCCTGTCTCCTCTCCTCTCTCTTCTATCCTCTCCTCTCTCTCCCTCTCCTTTTTCTCTCTCCTCCCTCTCTCCCCCTCTTGCTCTATCCTCTCTCCCTCTCCTCTCTCCCCCCCCCCTTCTTTCTCTCTCTCTCAGTGTGGTTACACCGCATGACAGAGCAAAGCGTGCAAGTTGCTGGGCTCTCTCAGTGACACCATCCTGCACCGGCCCTGGGCGGCTCGAGCCCACTGTTGGTCACTGTCAGTCGGTCAGCTCCTTGAAGGCCTCCCACTTTCTCTGACCTCCTTTCCCCAAGGACTGGCTCCTCCCAAGAGTATGTCCCAAATGTGTGAGATGTGTATGCTTGAAGAGAAAATCAATATGCTTCATAAATGTTTACTCAAGTTACATTTTAAAGAGTCCCAGGAGAAGAGTGAGCTGAACAGCTTCTTAGGGGTCACCTGCCATGTCCTTCCCAGTGTCTGCAGCTGACCTAGGAGAGACATCTGCAGCTCGGCTACTTTCACTTAAGAGGTTTAAGTTTAATTAACTGTTTGTCATAAGTACCAATCAGTAAACACACTTTAATTTCCTCATCATGAGACACCCAGGGGAGGTTCACATTTTCAATAGCAGACAATTAACGAGTCTGCTGGACGCACAGTCCCAGGACACTGCAAATTCTTTTTTGGAAGGCTTCAAAGAAAAATGATTAGACTTATAATTGAGTGATCAAATGAAACAGGAATCATTCCTCCCACCAGAAGTGTAAGCAGCATCCCTCATTTATTTTACTGTCCTTTCTTCATCAGGCCATCAGCTATGATCCACGTGCCCGCAATTTAAATGAAGCTCTCCTTTCTTTCTACAGAATTCCAAGACAGAGAACAAAAGTGAAGTTCAGGAAATGATTTCTCTAAAGAGGTTGTTTCTGGAGGTGTAGCCTGTTGCTCTGCTAACAGAGAGGTGGACAGGTTCTGGAAGCTGGAACTGACCAAGTGTGAGAGAAAACGCTTCCTGGGCCTCCATCAGGACCGAGAACCTCGGGAACACGCGGGAGGCCGCCCATCCCCCCCTCATCAGGACCCAGAACCTCGGGAACACGCGGGAGGCTCACTGAGTGGGAACTGACTTGTTGGCAGCAGCTTCTGCGTAAACACCTTGTACCATGACCCCCACGTGGCTTCCTGTTGGTCCTCAAGAACCTCTCCAAGACGACAGAATCTTTAACAAAAGTCATGTTTGCAGAGAACTGTGTAATACAAGAGTGATGCTCAAAAACAGCAAAGATTTTGCTGACAGGCAAACTGCCAGTCTAAAATTTGGTACAATTGAGCTACTTAGCAGATGCTTAACATGGTAAATTTTCTAACAAAATCCAGTTGGAGGAAGAATAATGTCTTTGCCCTGACAAAGCAGCTCTGGGCTGACAAAAAAACTCCACAAAAAACGACTCCTGACTGGACTGGCCCACAGAATCAGCAGAGCCCTCAGCCCCGCTCACGAGGTGGGCCACATGGGCTAAGATCAGGGGGAGGGACGTCCCACAGTGGTCACCCTGGCCCGGCTCGGAGCGGCCACGTGCAGGCCAGTCAGGCATAGGTGAGCGACGGCGCCCCGGGCTGACACATGCTGTCCTCATACAGATCCTCTGGGAGCGCCTCTTCGTCCCCGTCAGGAAAATACGTCGGGAATGGTAGGTTTTTACAGTCATCTTTGTAAGCAGGTAAGAAGGAATCTCTGACCTGGAAAGAGAAGTCACAATCTCCTTAGTAAGGGAGCCAGATAAACTGTAAAACAGCCTAACGTTCACGCCTTATCAGCCTCTACTCCTACATTTCCCGGTGCGAATCACATTACTGCTACACAGATGCAACAGGAAGACTAGCAGTATTTTTTATTCTAGTAGATTCAATCAATCTGACAATGAAAACCCCAATCTCCCTCAAGTTAATCGGTCACCCTCTTATTCATCATGTTAATTTCTAGAACTACTCAAAATATAAACTTTTAAAATTTATTACTCATATAGCAATTACAAATTTATTTCACAAATGAAAGACCTGATACACTTATACAGAAAAAACATCTTCTATATTAAAATAGAACTTTGTTATATTTGGTACTAAGGATATAAATATGTATTTATTTGTCCATTTTATACAAACTTCAGTTAAGAAATTTAGCAGTGTTTCTGCTGAGCTGATGATTACCATTTAGGAAAAGCTGTAATAATAAATCTACAAGTCTTTATAATAGCTCTTAATTCTCTAGATTCTAAAAGCTGTCAATTTTCAAAAGGATTTTTGGTATAGACACACACACACAGATACAGCTATAGATGCCACAATATTGGTATGATCGAAAATGTTCGGCCTTATTTTCAGAAAACATTATGGGTTCTTCAATGTTTCTGACTCATTCCGTACCCTTCATTTGGAGAGAAATTTCTAAAAAATGTATTTAATTATACACACAGTGTAAAATAAGGCATAACCATGTTGGCAGTAAGAAAACGAGTAACTGGTTGAAATAAGTACACAGCTGCAAGAAACAGTGAAGTACAGAGTAACAGATCTATTTTAATCTCCATTAAAATTAGTCTAAAAAATTATTGCTAAATTAAGCTAGAAGAAAATAAATTTGGGTGTTTTTTTTTTCCAGTTCACTAATCCTGGATTGAATCTGAACCTTAATGCCAAAAATCATATTCATACCAATTTAAGCTTCATGAGAATTTGGTAATATAACTTTCTGTGCTAATTTGATAAATGCAAAGGTTTAGTCATAAATGAATTAAACAGCTAATTATTCTGTTTCCACGTTAGTGGAGCTGAGCCACATTTCAGACGGAAAGCGCGACACTTCAGTATTCTAACAATGCCCGTGGTGACATCCTTGTCCGTCTACTGATGCTCTCAAGGTGAGTGAATTAGAATCTGCAGGCCGCCCGCGAGTGCTGTGCTGCTGAACTCCGACCCCTTTATCGTCGCCCAGTCCTCACCGCTCTGTCCACCTTCCAGCTCATGCCCCGCACGCGTACCCACTGGCAGACCAGCCTCTTCAGGAAGGAGGATAGAGAGGGGACGGTTGATCCATTAACACCTGTGCATTTGCAACCTGATGGAACGGCTGCCCGAGGTCGGCCTGGTGGACGCGTGACTCCACACACCAGAGGCCCACATTTACCTGGCTGGCTATCCTGACCTACGTTAGAATCTCAAACGACAGACAAAACCTGGCCGCCTCACACTGAAATAGAAGACTGTGGTGGAAGTGAGTGTTGGGAAGCTGCCTGACCAGCTCCCTCGGGGGGGCCCCACCCCATCTCCGTGGGTGGGGGGTGTGGGACCACTCCATCTCCCTGGGCAGGGGGGCCGCTCTTCTGTGGTGAATCACTTGGAAGAATGGGGTGAATGTTTTTTAAGCACAAACCAAGCTTCTGACATTTAAACACAAACTCACACAACAGCCCCTTCTCAAACCTCCACACTAATACTAGGGACGGACTAGTACAGCCTGTTACGGTTACAAAAGATGGTTAATTATCAGATCTATGTGTCTTTTTTTCCTTAAAGACGAGCTTTTTAATCAAAGCGTGTTTGTTGGAAATGCAGTTTCTCGGGTGCTAACCGCCCCAAGCGGCCATCTCCCTGCGGTTACAGCCCCTTCTCCCCGTGTCTTCAGTGCTGGATGGTAGTGTCACCGAGCTTCTGACAGAATGGTTTCCCACAATGGATGATAAAGCTGGATGATATCAATCAACCAGGTGAGACCATCCCCTGAGCCGACGCGGCCTCAGTGAGTCACAGCGGCAGGACGCCGCCCACCCTCACGGCCAGGTGGAGAAGGGGAGGGCCTGACGACCAGAACAGCTGTCCGGGGAATGCAGCCCCCCTTCTGTTATGTGGGGGCATTCAGAACGGAGCTAGGTTACGCGGAATTACGAAGTTGAAACAAGGGTATCTCACAATACACCTTGAATAAATACATTTTGCTACTTCCTATCATCTTACTAAATTTCAAGGTTGATTCTCAAATAAGAAATGAAAAACAGAAAAGATACTCCAACAACTAACTTACAAATTACTGTTGTTGTTAGGTGCCCTCGAATAGGACTCATCGTAACCCTACGAACAACAGAGCTGAACTCTTTCCTGTCCTGGGCCGCCCTCATCATCTCTGACTCCCTCCCCTCGGCTCTCACTGGGTCAGTCCACCTCCTGGAGGGCCTTCCGCTCTTGCTGATTCTCCGCCTTTCCAAGCCTCATGTCCCTCTCTGAGGAAGAGCCGCTCCCAGCAGCATCTAAAGTGTGAGGGATGCAGCTTGGTCATCTTTGGCCGTCCATGGGATGCTCAGCGCTCTTCTCCAACCCCACAGCTCAAAGGTATCAATTCTCCTTCTGTCATCCTTACTCACTGCCCAGCTCAGAGGTGCAGCAAGTGATGGTGAAGACATGGCCTGAATCAGGCCCACCTTAGAACCTGTTTTAATACAGCAACGTTTTCATACTAATAAACAAATACTTATTGAAAAAGACAAACAATAGACATTCAACCCAAATAACATCTTCTTTTGGACATTTCTCTTAATAACTTTTCCTATTAAGAAGATCCTAAAAAGAATCAATTGCAGGCCTGGATGTGCTCATTATCAAGCAGGGATGCAAAACCAATCTTTTACGGTGTCTACAAGTTGATGAGAATATAAAGCATGTCTGAAGTGTGAGACTTACAGGTGAAGAAATGTTTTCTTTTTTTGAAATTGAGAACGATTCAATCAGGAAAGAAAGTGTTTCAAAAGAGAGAAAAAAATCAGGTGAAGCTCTTCATTTTAAGGCTTAAGAAAGCATTGTATCATCGTGTGGGATGGTAATATGAACCACAGCCTGAACGGAGGAATGCATGAGGCACAGTGTTTGTCAACGAAACACAATGTGCAAGACTTTTGTACGTAAACCAACGAAAACCAGAAAACCAACAACCACATTGTACCTTATCCTAGCAACGAGACTCACTGGAAAAAATGAGAACATATAGAAAAAGGATTTAAACAACCTGAGATCTAAACTTGGCAACATTCTTGTTACTGCTGGAAAAGGGATGAAAAAGCCGGGAACGGCTGCCAGCGCGTCTCCCATGCCTTTCAGAACAGAGGGAGGACTTGTACCGCGCTGGGCTGAATCCTAAGAACACGCCGGCTGTACTCCACCTGACAGGAACCTCTGTGGTTCCGGAGTCTTCATCTAAGTCTACCCTGCATACGCCTGCTTTCGAATGGAAATAAAACACAACCCAGAACAAAAAAAATCAATCAAACACCCCCCACCCAAACTTTTCTACACAGTGAGAGCACACCTGGATCAAGACGACGCCCAGGGCAGTGGAAAAGCAGCACTGAGAGGCATCTCCCCGCAGTGCCAGTGTCCCACCACTGTCCTCTCTGAATTCCCACCGCGCCCACTACAGCTCCCGTGTCCAAGCAGCTCCCTGAGAAGCTACCCAGGCCGTGTCTTTTTCAGGGAAAGGGGACTAGTGATGCTCTGACACGGCCCTTCCTGATCAGGGCTCATGGCTCTGCGCCTCCTGCGGGCTTGAAGTCAGGAAGGGGTTATGGGATCATACACCTTTCATTCCAAAACCAGCCACCGACCAGGGCAGCCAGCGAGCAGCACAGACCAGCCAGCCACTCACTCCCACCCCCACGCACGCACGTACCTTCACTAAGCAGTTCTTGTGTCCGGGGACAGAGCCGTTCACGTAGATGATGTTGTGCTTGGTGTTTATTCTCCACACCTAAAGTACAAGGAAACCAAAGTTAGAGCACAAAAGCTATGAAAACGCACTTGCATTAAAACAAGCAGTGTCTGCCTGACGCTAGAGATGGTATTGAGAACACAAAATGTTTGTGGGGAGAATCTCGTCTGACCAGACACCAGACGAAGATGCACGTGACACCTGACACAGAAGAATGTGTCACACACACACACACACGGGGCTCCGGTGCCTCAGTCCACAGGGAGCCGGGCAGCCACCAACAGTGATACTGCTCCCGCGGTTCAAATCCACCTGCAGCATCACAGGAGGAAGACAGGCCATCTCCTCAGATTTACAGCCACAGAAAAGCTGGTGAGGGTGAGCTATGGGTTGGTTCCAACGACTCAGCAGTGAGGGGTTTGTGGACACAGTGGTGTGAAGCCTGCACCTGGGCACTGTCAGCCCAAAGGCCACTCTAAGGGTTAGAACTCGCCAGCGACTCCATGGGAGGAAGACAGGCATCTCCTTCTGTGTAATTTATAGCCTCAAGGAACCAATCAGAGCGGAAAATCATCTGATGGCAATGCGTCTGAATTGATGACACATATGTCATCCACACATCACCTGGCATATAACCGTTCGTGTGTGTGTAGATCATAAACTAGCCACACACATATTTAGAAACGTGAGCTGTTTTTCTAAAAAATGAAAAACACACCAACCTATAAACACCCAAAAAACCCAGCCAAGCAAGCAGCAATACCGATCATATTCTGACCCTCTTTTTCAGAGGAATATGAACATGGCTGACATGTCATGCCCATTTGTTATCTCAGTGAACTCTGCTGGCACAAGAGGATTTATTTCCTAGTAAACATGAGAAACAAGGAGCTGGACAAGTCACATGCCCAGCAGATCTGGTTTCTAAAACCAGAGTGCTGAGAAGCCCTACACTGGAGAGGACAGAGTCAGACAGACAGTGGTGCAAGAGACGGTCATGGAATAATCCAGTTTGATCCAGAGCTTACACGTGATTGTGGCTCAGAAACATCACTGAACAAAAATCACAGGAACGCACAGAAAAAGGGTGGCAAATCCATGACCTCTGATCAGGAAAGGGAGGAATGTTAGACTGATCTGAAACCAACTGGGAGGATCTGTAAGAAAATGCTGCTGTTGTTCCGATGGGCGGCTTACCTCTTCCTTTGTACATTGCTCTGTGCGTTGAAGCATTCATGTGTGCGTAAATAAGCCGTGGTTATTCTGACATATAATATTCTGTCCCCACGAAAGGACAACCTGCTTCACGTATCATTATGTCCTCTGTGGAGCTGGACGGATCTTAATCCTTTCCCTCTGAAGTGTCTATACTGGGTGTCATGAAAGCGTCTGGATTTATAAGCCTCTGCTTTTAATGCTCTTCCCCCCTCCTCTGTCATACAACTGACATACAGTAACACGTAACCTGGTACATAACCCCACTGTCTCTGTGTGTATGGAACTGCAGAGAGAAGGACCCAGAGGGAATTCTGCTCACTATTATGGAAAACAGCGCTCAGCGTCTGTGTTTTATGCAGCAGCACTGGGTGGGAATCTCCTGACGCACGCGGGGTGATGCATTTTATCTTCCGCAGGGCTGCACACCCCACTGCTCGGGTGCAAACGGGCACTTAATGCTGCTGCTGCGGCTACTAGAACAGGGTGCACGGCGTGCAGGCAGGCAGGCACATAGGCAGGTGCGTAGAACACATGCAGGAATGCAGGCACCCAGGCAGCACAGCCATGCGCATAGGCAGGTGTGCAGAACACACGCAGGCACGCAGAACACATGGAGGAATGCAGGCAGACACGCACACAGGCAGGTGTGCAGCACCCAGGCAGGTGAGCACGCAGGCAGGTACGCTTGCACACGTGCACCCCCCTCCCCTCCCCTCAGAGCTCTGAACACCTATTAGAACAAGTAGTTCTACGGTTCTGACTCTACGGCACCCAACACCACTAGCACAGGAGACCTAGACACGTGCTAAATGCACACTCGGACGCCTGTGCGTTTAGGCTTTAATTTGACCATTCCTAAAAAGTGGCTTCAGAGACTTACCTTCAGTCCCAACACTGTCCGATCCTGGTTTCCCATCTGTCCAGGCATCTTGGTCCCGGGCCAGACTCTGGCGACATCCTACAGAGAGAACCAGTCACTTGCACCCACGTCTCAGTTCAGAGGGCACAGCACTGACTGAATCAAAACGCCAAATGGACAGGAGCTGCTAAGACGCTTTCTCCCCTTGCAGAGACCTCCTTCCTCAACCGACTGTCAACACAAACACAGGTGAAGAGATTCTGGACCAAAACCTCAGTAACGAGGGCAATGAGCCTAACAAGTGCACGCCCCCCACCATCTGTCTTCCACAGTGACCCACGGACCCCACCGCCACTGCAGAAGGGCCACATCCCCCTCAACCTTAGCACTTTCCGTGGTCAGGACTCAAGGACAGGACTAGCTACCTGAATGCAGAGACCAAACAGCTTCGGACCGTCTGAAGCTCACCCTGCACTCACATGCGATCAGCACGGCACCTATTATTACAGACTGCTGCTGTGTGTCACCGAGTCAGAACTGACCCGAGTGACCCTCCCTCCCGCGGGTTTTCAGAGGAGACTGTCCATCTCTTTTCTGTTGGGAAACTGGTGGATTTGAACCATGTGCCAGTGGGACTGCAGCAGACTTTTTTACAACTAGGCCACCGGAGCTTCCTGTTATTACAAATTACAATATTAAAATAGGACTAACACTGCCCTGTCCCAAAAAAGCGACAGTCCTTAAACACAGCCTGTTAGGATGATGAAGGCACTTGCTGGCTAATCCTTCACGGGTTAGTTACACCAACAATGAAGAGAACACCTCACGAGGTGAGAGTTTTCCTGTGTTTAGTTTTAAGCAGTCACTCTCTACTTCCTCACAAGCACCCTGCGCCCCTCATCACTCATCTCCTCTTAGCCCCTCAGGGAGGAGACCCACAGCGTGGCCATGCAGGAGATGCCAACTCACAGTGACCCCCAAACCCCCTGCTGGATCCCCCAGTGATTTTCAAGGACCCTCTAAGGGATCCCCAACAGTGGCCCCCCCCAAGGACCATCTCTGGGATCCCCCCATGACCCCCAAGGACTGCCTGCTGGTTCCGCACAGTGACCCCAAGGACATAAAGCTGTGCAACTGTAGGAACCCTCCTGGGCAGCTGGAGAAGTAGCGGGGTCAGTGGAAAAGACGTCCGTGAGATGGACACGTGACAAGAGGTCGAGCACAGTGGGGACGGGCCACAGGGCCAGGAAGGGCTTCTCAGTTCCACGTAGGCTCCCGAGGGGTTGGCACTGAGCCTGCTTTCCCAGATAACATCCCATCAAGCTAGGGCGTGTCTCCGGCACACCACCCTGAACCCACCCGGATCTCGGCTGGTAACACCTGGGCGTTACACTGCTTCACCAGATGCACTGCCTGGTGACAATTAGTATTTCCACACAAGCTTTGCGGAATCAGGGCCACATTTTAACAAGACCTGTGAGCCTCCCCTGGGGTCTGTTTATGTCACAGCACAATCAGCAAAGGGAAGAGGCGTCCAAGTACAAGTGACCCGACACCTTAGCTTTAGTATGAGGGTAACACGATGCGTGAGGTGAGAAATGAGCAAATCAAGGCAGCTTTACAGCATTTCTGTCCCCTGTGAGCAGCAGAACGCATTACTGACTTCTGTACTTGACCTTAACTGACTGATGCTCGAAGCGCGGGACTCCCCAGGCTCTGTCCACGGTACCGCTGCCCAACACGGCTCCACAAACAGAAGGGTCTGCCTGTTTCCTACACTGCCTCCTTCCCTCTCCATTCCTCCTTATCAGGTGGTTGCCTTTTGAGACTATCTCCTTCGATTTGAAAACCAATCTGCGAAGGACTCAGGAGAGCACTTCTGCATCAGACGTGAGTGTAGGGGGACCCGCAGGGCATGGGAAGAGAGCAGACCAGTGTCAGGACCAACGTGGTCCACCTGAGAGGAGAGGGCCTGCCCTCAGGGAGACTCCCGGCCTCCAGGAGCCGCGTGTCCGGAAGCCGAGAGCGAGGAAGGGCACTGCTCTGCGGTACTCACTCCAGTGGAAATCGCTCCAGGTCTCCTGTGGGTTTTCGTTTGACCATGAGTCGCAGGCTGGCCTTTAAATCCCCATCTTTTCATGACCCCTTGGAAGCCTTTACCAATCCTGGAATAAAACAAACATCAGAGTTTACATAATGAACAGAGCCTAAAATATTCCTAATTGTACACTTTCCTGATGTTACCTCAGAGTTTTAGCAAAGCTTCTTATCTGAATAACCAGAAATGGCCATGTAAGCACACTTGTCAAAATCCCTCCATCTCTGTCCAGGTTGCAGCCCTGCCTGCAGTTTCATTCTAGAGAAAAGGTCAGTTCACCGAGCCAGGAAGCAGCAAGCAAAGCCCAGGAGTTCCATCTGAACAGAAGTTGTATCAACCAGCGTTCCATGAAGACAACATGGCAAACACTGGAAAGTTCTCAAAGTTCCAGAACACTCCTAACAGCTGCGGCGGCTGCCCTCAAAGATCCTCAGACCTGCACGCTCATGCTTTTGTATTTGGGTAATTGTCGTTAAGTGCAGCAACCCTGTGACAGGCAGGTGTGAACCGTGTCCTACGCTGTGCCGTCCTCACCATCTCTGACACCCGGGAGCCCCTGGGCGGTCACTGCGTAACCACCTGGTGGAGGTCTTCCTTTCTCTCACCCTCTACTTGTCTCAGCATGAATGTGTCTCTCCAAGGACTGCTGTTGCTAGACGCTTGTCGAGTGTGACTCATAACCACCCCATGACCAGCAGCCGGGACCCCGTCCTGTCCTGTGCCTCACTATCGGACATACGAGCCCACTGCTGCAGTCACTTTCTTAGCCACTGAACTTGACTTTGCCTTATCAAAGATGGGTGGGAATAGGTGCGCAGGGCGTGTCAGCCTATCCACAGGGGACTGGCCAATCTCACCATCAAACCGAGCTATCCAGCAGCCGAGTGTCTCTCACCACCAGAAAAGGACAAGTATGCACACAGTGGACATCCTTCAGGACGGGACATTCCTACTAGACTTAGCAGCAGCAGCCATGACCTTGGACGTGAGATGGAGCTGATCTTGGGACTACCACCCCTGGACAGAACCAGACCTAAGCTAAGAGCCTTGGCCCAAGTCTGCTGGACACATGGTGGGGGTGGGGAGGCAATCCTGGCAGGACTGAGAACTCTGTGACACTGGCCTAAAGCCGTGAGGCTCAGGGCTGAGGTGCTGGTGAGCACATTTCTGAAGCTGTGCTGACTGTATTCTGTGACGGGCCTGGACTTCCCCAACATGGCTCTGTGTGTCTGTGAGCGGCTGCATTAGATTCTCGACGAGTAATGCAGTAAGATTAGTGCTGAGATGGGTAGAAAGAGGCCCAGCAGCATGAGAATGTGTCTGAGCTCCTAGGACCTGGGTTTGTGGTTTTCATGCTATGGACAGTCCCCTCTGTGAAGGTGGTACCGGTCAGTACGGCCGTCCCCATGTGGTATCAGTCTCGTGCAGTGTCTTCTCTTCTGCTGAGCCTCTCCGTTGGCGATCATGATGTCCGTCTCCAAGGGAGAGTCTCTCCTAGCAGCATGCCCAGAGTATGTGAGATGAAGCCTTACCACCCTTGCCTCCAAGAAGCACCGCGGCTGCACCTTCTCCAAGACCTATCTGTCCTCTTGGCCATCCACGGGATGGTCAGCACTCTTCTCCAGCACCAGAATTTGAAGGTATCAATTTTCATCCTTATTCACTTTAGTTTTCAAATGCCTCTCGGTAATGTGGAGAGACCCCTGACAGCCTAGCAGTCCAATATAATACGTCTCCAGACTGCTGTTACCATGGGTGCTGAGTGTGGGTTCAAGTAAGATGAACTAGCTGACAGTTTCACCCTTTTCTCCAAGCATCAGTGCGGTGGTGAGGACTCTCGTCTTCCTGACGTTGAGATGCAGCTGCCGTCTTTCCTGCTCTGTAGTGTCTCACGTCCTCCAAGGGCCGGTTCCTCCCAACAACACAGTAAGTGAGAAGCTCCCCTCTGACCAGCCTCCGAGGAGCTCTGGATGCCCTTCCTTCAAGACAGGTCTGTCTGTCCTTTAGAGAGTCCGTTCAATGCTCTTCACCACGTCACAACTCAAAGCCATCGATTCTCTTCTCGCCTTCCTAAACATCCAACTGTCAGATGCAGAGGAAGTAATGGAAAAAGACCCCGTTGGGACTGGACACAACTTCATCTTTAAGCTGACATCCCGGCGTTAGCACTCTGGAGAGAACACCGAGAGCAGATCTTCTCAGGGAAATCGGTCTTCTGATTTCCTGAGCACGGCTGCTCTGCATGCTGACGGTAGGTCCACAGATGAGCTTCACTCTTTTCTCCACCTAGCTTGACTGTCCAGCGTCTTCTTGAGGCTGAGATGTCATCCATGATGAAGGTTTAGTCTCTGCTCTTGTGCAGCCAGTGTTTGGAGAAGATCGAAGCAATCAGCTTCTATGAAGAAGGCGGCAAAGTGATGAGACGTCAGCTCAGAGACCAAGACACAAAGGGCTGGCTTCTGTCTCGTGCTTTGTCACCAACCAGGGGCTGAAGGCACCCGACTCTGTCACTGTAAGCTGTCACGGGCAGGGCCCACACACAGGATGTCTCCAGCCAAAGACTGTTTTGGATTACAGCCTACGAACAGCTCCATTCTGGAGCTTGGACATGAGATTACATCAGCTTTGGGCAACAAACTTTGATTATCGCCTGTGAGAGAACGAACAAGGAACGCTCGAGGCGGCTGCAGGGTGAACTCTGACCTCCAGAACTTAGGGTGACTGTGCTCACTGTTTAAAGGCTCTACACTTAGGTCACAGTGTCACACAGCACTCAGTGGTTGAGAGACACCCCAAATCCACACCTACTGCGGTTGGGGGCCTCTGCCTCACAGTGACCGCACCCCTACGCTCCTACAGAGCCAATCAGTGACGCGCTGAGTGCACTCATAGACTTACAGCCGTGACCGTGGCTCTCAGCCTCAAGGTTTGCACAGGAAACTAACGGCGGAAAGAGCAGAAATCTGAAAAGTCTGATTCTTTACAATTTTAATTATGTGAGTTTATTTTAAAATTCTGCTAAACAGAGGAACTTTCTAAGGTCCGAGCATTACTAAAGTTTGTCTCTGAATGTCAAATGTGATCAGTAATTCATGGCCCTGAGTCTGAACCGAGTCACTGACCCTCTGGTGAGTTTTCAGAGGCTGGACCCAGCACAGGAAGAGACTGCCCATCTTTCTCCCAAAGAGCAGCTGATGGATGTGAACGTCCAGAGGTGAGCCAGCCGCCGGTTACCAGAACAAGTCCCTGCTAACCACGGCCCTGGGCTCCCTCAAGGTCCAGTCCAGATGAGGAGACAAAAGCCTCAGGCCGGCACTGGACACGTCACAGACCCGAAGGCAAGTTCTTCCCGCCTTCCACTAGATCACAGGGTGCTCTCCACCGTAACAAAACAAGGTATTATTTTAAAAAGTTTAACAATAAACAAAAATAATAAATGTCTCAAGCCATTTATAAAAGAAGGAAAAGCAGTAAATTCATGAAAACCACCTCTACTAAGGGCGAAGGCAGGAAGGCAGTGTAGATGACCAACACGGAACTGACATTCTACTTCAGGTTTTTACGTTTCCTCAACAGGGAATCTGAGATCATGCTTTTAAAAAGAGTAAGAGGCAAAACACCTAAAGAGTCTTAGGAATTTAAGACGTGGGAACATCTGATAAATAAACCACATTTCAAAGGAAAAGGCGAGGGTGGAGACAACACTAATGTGACACACACGTCGCTCTTTAAAACACCATGTCCTACCTACTGCCGGCCACTGTTGGCAGCAAGCTGACCAACACCGCCCGAGTTCTCTGATGGATCCGTCTCCTACTCAGAGACAGTGACAGCGTGTACAGAGAAAACGCAGGCCAGGTAAGGAGAGAAGAGAAATCAGCTCACTGCAAAATTAAGTGCTTATAAGATGAAAGCAGTATCCTGAAAGCTCTAATTATCTGTCGACTAATTATAGATTGTTTTTCAATCTAGCTTTAAAATACACCATGTTGTTACACTGTGCACAATGGGAACCTCTTCAGTAAATAACCTTTTAACAATAGGATGAACCCAGATGGCATGGCTAATTATGAGTGTGGTTCCGATCAGAGAGGCAGGTGCACCTGTTGCTCCCCGGGTGGTACAGGTATCTATTCTCCTGCTCTGTCAGCGCAGAAGGAAAATAAGAGGTGGGAGCTCACGCATCTATACTTAGCACATAGGGCGCATTCAAATGGAAGGTTTCACGGGCGACAAAGAGAAAAGCTTTGTTTTACTAAAAGTTAGCAACAACACATGAGACACAGGCTTCATCCCACCACCATTTGTCCACTGCTGTTTTCAGTAATGACAACAGAGACAAAAAAACAAAGGAAAATTCACATCAAAAACAACAGTGTTAAAAATATGAAATTTGGTGTGACACATGTGAAAATGAAGAAACAGAAAAGAACACATCTTATTGACAGAATTTACAGCTGACAACCAGGAGGCAGTCGTCAAAACAAGACAAGGAAACACTGCATGGTTCACAATCAGAAAAGGAGCACATCAGGGATGCGTCCTGTCTCCAGACCTTTCCATCTGTGTGCAGAACAGATCATTCGAGAGGCTGGATTTTATGAGAAAGAATGCGGTATCAGGATTGGGGGAACACTCATTAACACCCTGTTATGCAAATGACACAGCCTTGCTTGATGAACCTGAAGAGGGCTTGAAGCACCTGCTGCAGAAGGTCAAGGACTGTAGTCTTCAATATGGATTGAAGCTCAACATCAAGAAGACAAAGATTCTCACCACTGGGCCAACTGGCAGCAGCATAAAAGATGGAGAAGAGACTGAGATTATAAACACTTTCAGCTTGCTTAATTCCACAGTTTAAAAGTCTTGGCATCAGCAGTCAGGAAATCAAAAGACAAATTTCATTAGGAAAATCTGCTGTCAGGGAGCTCTCCAGAGTGCTGAGGAGCAAGGACATCAACCTAGAGAGTAAGGTGCGCCTGATCCAGGCCATGTCTTCACCATTACTTGCTATGCATCAGAAAGCTGGATAATGACCAAAGATAAAAGAAGAACTGATGCCTTTGAGTTGTGGTTCTGGAGAAGTGTATTGAACATAACATGGACTGCCAAGAGAACAAACAGGTCTGTCCTGGAGAGGGTGAAACCAAGCTGCTTCTTAGAGGCAAGGATTTGAGACTCAGTCTCACATACTTTAAGCTTGTAGACAGGAGGGTCCAGTCTCTGGAGAAGGGTATTATGCTTGGAAGGGTCTAGGGACAGCCCAGGAGAAGAAGACACTGGATGAGATGGACTGACATAGTAACTGGGGTAATGAAGGTAGGTGTGCCAGAGACAGACTGGCTTGGGAAAGAGCAGAGTTCGGAGCTGCTGTGCACAGGGTTGCTATGAGTTGTAGTCGACTTGCGGGCATGTAACAACAACGAAGACAGAAGTAGCAGCAGGCTGCTAAGGAGGGTATAAGGGGTTCTGTTTGTCTCAGGTCACGTAAATTCCAATAATGCGGACTGGACACCTGCTATACAGACATGCTTAAGGGTTACGTTAATTTATTCCACAGTAAAATTTGTCAAACAATTTACTTAAATCTGCTTATGTTTTCTAGATTCAACCAATAGGGAATTGGATGCAAAGACCACTATAAAAAACAGCAAGCACGTCTCGTTCTAAACATGATCCAAAATCAGCATATTCTATTCATAGTCATTAAATATTTATTTCTACCAAAATGCATCCTTGTTTAAATAGTTAAAGTTCTGCTTTTACAGGAAAAAATATCTCATCTAACACTGAGGGGCGTCATGCTACTGACAGTGACATTATTTCTCTTTCAGTTTCTGACAGGCTTTTAACAGATTGAAAATGTTTCTTAGTTATTTCAGGGAACCGTAAAAGGTAACAACCACTATCACAAATAAGAAAAAATGTTTTCTAGTTTAGCTGCTGCCTAGCGCTGGAGAGAAGAGCCAATTACTACCCGACACAGAGACCTCAGGAGAACTCCATCAGCACTGCTCATGCATATTTTACCATCAAAGCATAACCTCTGATCTTCAAAACAGAAGTAGGTCTTGCCCACAGAGAATCTGAGTAATGTGACCTATGCCTCAGCTCCATTTCAAAAAGTACACATTTCAGTTTAAAAGCTGTAACCTGATATGGACTTTTCACATACAATTAACTCAGCACAATTTTAAAGCCAGAAGAGTCAGTAACATCAGACAGTAGAACAAGGCATTTCTTCTCTCTTCACAGGGCTGGAAAGGCCACACCGCTCTCCTGTTACTTATTAACCTATGAGGAACCGCTGTGCAGACTTACGTTTTGGCGGTGACGTCCACATGCTGTCCTGGACGGAAATGGGCAGCGTAGAGAGGAGTGCCTGGATGAGAGGAACAGGAATGTGCGGTTAGTCAGCTCAGAGGCTGCGCAGTACAGCGCACACCTGGGTCTCCAGCCAACACACTCAAACGTGGTAGGACATTTACTCCGGCAATATGAACAGCAGAAAACACTCAACTCAAATAGGCAAACCACCAACAAGCATGGCTTTAATCTGTGTGTGGGTGAACCACCTGCCGGGGCACAGAAGCTGGTGTGGAGGGAGCCACCCGACTTCACTGAGGGGTGGGGGCCACAGGGTGCCGGCCGAGACAGTGACCCCGAGACAGCACAGCGGGCCTGCTGCTCAAGGCCCAGGCTGATACTTCCCAGTCGTTATGCAAATGAGAAGAAAAACGAGAGGATGAAAAACACGGTGGAGCCGACACAAGTCTTCACTCACTGGAGAGGTCATCTAAGAGTTGTTGGTATGTGTTGTCAAGTCAGACCAGACGCACAGCTGACCCTCCTGTGCGTCTTCAGAGGCGGTAAAGCGCGTGGGAAGAGGCTGCCCATCCCTCATTCTTGGAGCGGCAGGCGGATTCGGACTGCGTGTCTTTGTGACTGCAGTCCAGCTTCTCCCCACTAGGCCGCCAGTGCTCCCTCACCTCAGAGCAGGACATTTCATTACCGACTGCAGAGAAATGCACGCAGGCAAATGACTGAGGACAGCATATACGGCATGCAGACTCACACATGCCAACGGACTGGCAGACTTGGTACTGTTCCCATAACAACACACACATCCCAGCGTGTGCCCAGGTATCTGGCAGAGAAAAACCACCGGTGCAGATGGAATGAAGACACAGCCCCCACCCCTGTGGCAAGGAACTGACACCGCAGGTTTCCAAGGCTCCCAGTCTCTACGAGACCACCTCACGGCTCTCCCTCAGGGCTGCAGGGGTATTTGAACCACCAACCTTGCAGTCAGCAGTTCAACATGTAACACTACACTACCAGGGTCTCATTATCTTTTATACAGTAACTTTTTGGCAATTAATCAACAAGCACTTCTAGGGTGCCTACCACGTGTGGGGCTGGGGATGCACACATACAAGAGATGGCCTTGAACGCGTCAAGAAACGCATTACTGAAGTGAAGAACAGTTCCACTAATACCGCCAAACGAGAGATTATCAGAAAGCAAACAGGTGCCAACATGCGACCTGTGAGCACAGGCAGGAAAGTTCTGCGGGTTTCAGTGGGCAGAACCCTCTAAGCTTTGACCAAACCTGGCTTTGAGCAAGTAGAGAAAGATCTCTCAATTAAGGAACCTGGAAGATTTAAAAGTGGCCTCATTTCTACAACACTGAATAGCTTAAAACTGTTACTACTTGATAATTTTTTACCTCAAAAAAGAAAAATTTCATCAGATTTAACCGACAAGTTAATGTAGACTCAATTTACCTTTATCCTGAACACCAACAAAGGGTTTTAAAAACCAGTGATGCTGACACCACCAAGCGAAACTGCTTCAGAACAAACCTGCTACATGACAGACGAGTTGAGAAAGCGCCCTTCCTACAGAAAACAGAACGCGTCACTCCATCTACAAACGTGCTAGCTGAACTTCAGGTCTTTCCAGGAGCTTTGGTGACTCATCCCTTAGGAGCCGCGTAGCACACCCAGGGCAGAGCGCCTCGGTGGTTCAAACCCAGCAACGAACGCCTTGTTGGAACAATGACGAGCATGCCCTCCTGTGCGACTCAGAGCCACAAAACCCCAGCGCAGGGTCGGCTACGAGTGGTTCAACTCAACAGCAATGAGAGACATTTGCTTTGTCTAAAAGTTAGAAAACCTGCACTTCAAAAAAATACTTTGAATGCAAGATTACATCAAGATTGATCCTTTGTTGCCTTACTTAGCAAGGCCAACTGCAACTGCATTTTATGTTAAGAAAGGCAGTTCAAGTATTTAAATGGCAAGTATTAAAATCTATTTTTACTATAGTGTTAAAATATGAGTTCAAGAGATTAAGGCGCTTTCTGAAGTTCCAAAAGGACAAAATGAATTATTTAAATGAATCAAATCGTGCGTTCTGATATTCTGACGAAGTAGAGTCCTTCAGAGCATGCACAGAGGGACTGTGGTCACTCACTGTCCTGAACGTCACACTTTCTATAGTTCTTCTAAGAGTCTAACTCTTCTTAATAGAACCCAGGCCTGCAAATCCTGGACCCTGCATTTTAAAAGTGCATTTATTCACAACAACTCATCCAAATGCAAAACTCCTCCTACATTAAAAACTAAGGTGCTCCTCCCGCTCTCATGGAAAACCACGCATTCTCCGCAATGTTCCCACTTAAGAAAATAGACTTGTTTGTCCCTAGTGATTAAATCAGATACAGTTTTCTATTTAAAAAGAAACGTTTGGGTCTTTGTGTTCTGGATTCAGCTTTTTTGAAAGGGCTGACAGTAAACAAATCACGTATCGGGTATTTTTACTTCCCTCCTCTTCCCGACCACAGATTACCTGGTTTAATTACAGCATTTTCTGTGACATTAAAGATTTTAATTTTCTGTTTTGGCGGTAATCCAAGTTCTTGGTAAAATTCCAATATGGATGGAGATTTCTAGAGAGAAAAGAGCACAAACAACACATGAGATACCAGGAAAGCAGCACATATAATAACACGATATATACAAATCCCAGAGCACCCCGGCCCTGAGGAAAGCGGAGTGAGGCTCTGAGCAGTGACTACAGTGCCCTGAACCAGGGGCCTTACTGCTCAGGGGACAATCCTCTGCAGGGTCTCTAACCCAGTCATCTGGAGAAAGCCTTCCCCCTTTAGGAAAAGAAAACGAACGAGAGTCATGTCTCACCAAAAACCTTCAAGTATTTCTACCTTTTGACACAACAAGCTCTCTTTTAAGAAGCTGGAAGAAGGAATTATCTGAAACACAGGCAGAGATTTAAAGTCCAAGATGTCCACAGCTTTTGTTAGTTTGCTATTGTGACATTTTCTATCAGTCCTTTTAAGAATGATTTAAAAATCACACATTTTCCCTGCAGGGAACATACAGAAGTACAACGGGAATCACCTGAAGCAGCACGACCTTTTAATGGTGTGTCCGTCACACACTTAACACAACAGAGATCATATATACAAAGCTTTCATCTTTTCTTTCCCTTTTTTAGACAATGTCCCATAACTCTTCCACAAGTCATTAAGTCTTCTTCGAAAACACCATCATAACTGATGGATTTCAGGGTAGCTGTCCCTGTATTTCTTCATCTCTGCTGAATGTCTATGGCAAACAGCAGCTAACGTTAGAACTGAGGAGGAACCTGCCCTTCTCCTTGCCTCCTTCAAGCACGTGAACGCCCCAAACTCGCACCACTTTGCCCTGGAGACTGTGCGAAGCTGTGAGCTGTCTGTACCCCACCACTCTCAAGATACTGTGAGTTATTCACCACCTTAACAGGTGCTCACCCCCTCTGCAGAGCCCCCCTCACCTCCGTACATCCCTCAAGGTATCCTCTTCTCTCCCAGGCCTGCAGTACAGTGGTCCCTGCGCCCTCAGCCCAAGCTCCCGGAGTAGAAGACCTTACTCCACTTATTAACATGTGCAAGAAAACATGGTGGTCCCACTAAAATGCATACTCACAAACGTCAGACAGCCTTAAATACGACGCAGATGACATCCAGCTCCCGGCTCCAACCCCTTCCCCACTCTCCAGGCAGATCCGTATTCTGCAAACCCCAGCATCACTCCTTCCTCCTCATCCAGCTGATAATACTACCTCTTACTGGGAGGGGAATTCAGTCTCAGCTCATCAGGCTGCCTTTTACCGGGGTTAACCTTACAAAGACCTATAGCACCTCGTTCTCAGCTGATCATGCTGCCTCTTACAGTGGGGAATCTTGATGAAGAGTGAGCACTTCAATCTCAGCTGAACAGCCTGCCTCTTATGGTGGGGAACCTTACAAAGAACTGTGAGCACTCCAGTCTCAGCCGAACAGGCTGCCTCTTCCTATGAGGGGAAAAAAATCCCACAGAGAACTGTGAGCACGACACACTCAGGCTGCCTTACTGGTGGAACCTTATGAAGAAGCGTGGGCCCTGCTCCATCCAATCCCAGCTTTTAGGAAAGACCAATGCCGAGCTAAGAATCAGGACTTCAAAAAAGTGCCCTCACGTGAAACGAGGGTTCGGATCATGTTGACAGATGCTCTTCTTAAAGCCAAACTTGTGTCCTGATTTGCCTCGTCCTCTCACCTGTCAGTAAAGTCTAAAACTGTCCTCATTTATTTCTGGATCATCAATTTCCCCCTTTTGAAAGGTTCCATCAGTATACAAATGCGCTGCAGCAACAATATTTTAAAATACTAAAGTGTAACTATGAGTCACAGGCAACTCGACGGCACATAACACCACCAACAACAAAGTGTAACGGTTCCCAGTGCGCATACCCTTCGACCACACTGCCACATTCCTTCCCTCTGGTACACCATGACAGGGAGAACGGGAACCCCCTTTCCTGGATCAAGAGGCTGTGGTGTCCCCTCTCACCTCCTTGGGTCCACCTTAACTAGACATGTCCTCTCTGAAAGCGCAGTTCCGGTCACGTCCCCACATGGCACTTACTGCCCAGGTCTACCAGCCATGCCTGACACAGGACCACCTTCTCCTAAGCAGATTTTCATGTCTCAATTCTGTAAGGTCTTGTATGTTCTCTCATGTGCTACTGACCCCGCATCTCTTACTTTAGTCTCCTGTTCTGCTCAGAATTACAAATTCATATGGCCTCCAGTCAAACCACAAGCACACGCAGCGCTGAGCCTCCCCTCCAGGTGCACCTGAGGGAGGGCCGGTCCAGAAGAAAAACACTCTAGCAAGATTAATGAACTGATAATTGAGGTTTCTGTAGTATTTGGATGCTGGCAGGGGGATCCTCCTAAATTCCTGTCTCACTCCCCGCTGGGAGATTGTCATCCGAATTCTTTCGTGAAGATCACTGGGAGGAGTGCCTCACCTCTCTAACTACTTCATGCTGAAGGTGGGCACAGTGACGCCCGAGAAGAACCCCTACAACATAAGCAAGGTAACAGAGGGCCAGGAACACTTCAAGTCACAGTTCAACAGACAACAAGGAGCCACTTCAAACTCTGACTGAAGGAAAGGAATAAACGGGGACACTGAGTAAGGAGAGGAGGGCCACAGGGCCGTGGACAGCACTGCCCAGCCATCCTGACCAGCTACCCAGTGGAGTCAGAGCCCAGGACAGCGGCAGCCTGCGGACACGGTGGACAGCTTTTAGCAGAACTTTCTGCCGAGTAAGCAAGACTGACCATCCACTTCTGAGACAACAGGCTTCGGAAATCGTATGGCCATCGGCCGCCTCACTCCGCCTGGGTCATTCTGGGTCTGCAGCGCCTCCCCAGTGCAGCCTGCGTGCAGCCCACCTGAAGGGCTGACGACGGAAGGCCCAACCTTCAGCAACACATGAGCACTGTTCTTCCAATGTCCAAAAGAAATGCTAAAAGAGACTGCAACTTGCACTGGAATGAAAAGAAGCCAAAAGAATGTTTGGTAAAGAAAATGTCAAAGGCTAGCTCAGCCCGATAAGACAAAGCAAAATATCATAAACTGCTTCAAGGGTGGGAGTCAGAAGACCAACACAGAAGAAGTCTCTCGGCATTTCTCAGGCTGCATGAACTGAAGAACAAACTCAGGTCTTGAGACGTAACCCCGAAGGAACCCATCGGCCAGGTCCTGGGAGGTGCAGGGAGGGTCACAAGGACCACAGAAAGTCACTGTGTGAAAAGAACTGCTCAATACCGAAACCCTCTCAGGAAGCAGGATATGACGGGAAACCAGTGGCAAAGACGGAGGAAGGTCAAGCTGCACTGGAAGCACTGGCAAAAATAAGGGGGCAGGAAATGATGGAATACCAAGTGCCATGTCTCAACCAGCACAGCAGCCCTGGACACGCTCATCAGGCTGCCCTAGGAAATCCACAAGTTACCTGTCAACTGATGGATTTACGCACACTCCAAACAAACAGGTGACCTAACACAGTGTGGGAATTATTAAACAGTAACAATGATGTCAGTCTGGAGACTAAGGTGCGCCTGATCCAGGCCATAGTCTTCACAATTGCTTGCTATGCGTCAGTGAGCTGGACAATGACTAGGGAGGACAGAATGGATGCCTTTGAGCTGTGGTGCAGGAGAAGAGTACTGACTATATCATGTTCTGTCAGAACAACAAACATCCTAGAGAGAGTGAAACCAGCTTGCTCCATACTTTGGTCATGTTGCAAGGAAGGATCGGGTCTTTGGAGAGGGACGTCATGCTTGGAAGGGTAGAGGGATGGAGAGAGAGGGAAACGATGAGATAGACTGACACAGTGACTGGGGTAATGAGGGTAGGTGTGTCAGCGACAATAAAGGTGGCATAGGATAGAGTAGGTTTCAAGGCTGTTGTACATTGGGTCTTTATGAGTTGCAAGTGACTCGATGGCATATACCCACAATCATTAATATCGCACACAAGCAAACTCTTATTTTAAAGAAGATTGTATTAAAAATGGCTAAAACAGTACTCTGACAGGAACTGCTAGAAATTCAAGCTGGATTCAGAAGAGGCCATGGCACCAGGCATGTGCTGACGTCAGATTGAACTTGGCTGAAAGGAGAGAATCCCAGAAAGACGTTTACTCATGTTTAATGATGACTCAGAGGCATCTGACTGTATGAGTCATAACAAGTTATGGCCAAGATGGAGAGTGATGGGAATCCCAGAACACTGAATTGTGTTCAGGGGAAATCTACAGAGACCAAGAAGCTGCTGTCCCCACAGAACAAGGAACACTGCATGGTTTAAAAATCAAGAAAGGTGTGCTTTCAGCTTGAATCCTTTCTCCATACTTAGTCAATCTGTATGCTGAGCAAAGCATTCGAGAAGCTGGACTATAAGACAATGTGGCATATGGATTACAGGAAGACACATCAACAGCCTGTGTTATGCAGATGGAAAAAACCAAACAAAACAAAAAAACCGACAAAGACTTGAAGCACTGACTGCAGAAGACCGAAGAGGACAGTGTTCAATACAGATTACATCTCAACACCCAGGGAAAAAAAAATCCTCACTACTGAACCAACAGGCAACGTCAAGATTGTTGTTCCTGTTATGTGCCATCAAGTCGACCCCGACTCATAGCGACTGTACACGTATTACCTGACCGTGCTGTCCTCCTGAGGGCCAGTCTTGTCTCGGACACACCACCCTCATGACACCAATTACTGTGTCAATCCATTTTATCCTGTGCTGTCCCTCCACCCTCCCAAGCATAATGTCCCTCTCCAAGGACCGGTCAGTCCCTCCTTACATGTCCAAAGTATGTTAGACGGAGCCTCAGAATCCTTGCCTCCAAGGAGCAGCCAGGTTTAACCCTTTCCAGGATGCTGTTTGCTAATTTCCACTCTGCTGGAGCATCTTTTTTATTAAAATGAGATAGATGGGGAAAACCTGAAATCAATGACTTGATTTTACTTGGACCCATAATCAACGCCCATGGGAACAAACGCTGGCTCCTGAGTTGATCCCAACTCCTGACCACTCAAGTGAGAGACGAAGAGACCTGCCCCTTCCAGGCTTCCAAGGGGTTCACTGTCCATAAGCTGAAGGCTGGACCTTTCCTCTGACGCAGCTCTGAATGGGCCTGGCTGACCGGCGTGCATGTAACACCTAGAGACTTGAAGCTGCCTCAAACCAGCCTGACATCGGGCACATCTGGATCAGCTCTGGTGGTAAGGCGCTTCAATGCACTACAAAAGGCACGCGGTTCTAGCCAACCAGCTGCTCAGCAGAAGGATGGGCTCCACCTCCCGTAGGATCAACTATCTCGAACAACACCCTGGAGGGCACACGACACTGTCTACACAGAGAAAGTCCACCTCCGGGACTAGACCAGAATCCAGTGGGGGCAGCGGGTGTGTCTGCACAACCAGAGCTGAGAAGCCCTGCCCTGGACGCCCAGCCTCAAGGGGCGCCACTGTGAACTCAGTCCACTCTCTCTGACCCCATGTCCCACATGCCGACCCCTAATTCACAACCATCCCTGTGAGCAAGGGCCTACTCCTCCTCACCTGCTGTCACACTCACACACACACACACACACACACACACTCTCCTCACCTGCTGTCACACTGCTTTCTCACACACACTCCTCACCTGCTGTCACACTCACACTGCTTACACACTCACACACTCCTCACCTGCTGTCACACACTGCTTACACACTCACACACTCCTCACCTGCTGTCACTCACACTGCTTACACACTCACACACTCCTCACCTGCTGTCACACTCACACACACACACTCACCTGCTGTCACACTCACACACACACTCCTCACCTGCTGTCTCTCTCACACACACACACTCACCTGCTGTCACACTGCACACACACACTCCTCACCTGCTGTCACACTTTCACACACACACTCCTCACCTGCTGTCACACTGCTTTCTCACACACACACTCCTCACCTGTCACACTGCTTACACACACACACTCCTCACCTGCTGTCACACTGCTTACACACACACACACTCCTCACCTGCTGTCACACTGCTTACACACACACACTCCTCACACACACACACTCCTCACCTGCTGTCACACTGCTTACACACACACACACACACACACACACACACACGGCTCATTTTAAAGCTTCTGAAATTCTCTGGTATCTGTACCAAATGGAGATTTTTCAACATTTGGAACTTAACTCCAAATTTCACTCTCGCCACACACTGGTGGCCAAGTCAGAAGCACGTGGTTCCACTCCACGGGCTGCTCCGTGGGAGGATGGCACCTCCTCTCATGTGGTTCAGCCGCCTCTGAAAACCTGCTGGAGGGTCAGCGCTGAGCCGGGTCGAACTGGAGAACAGCACTGACATTCACACATTGCGCCTGATCATTTAAAAAGTACACTTCTGTTTAGTATCTTGGTTAAATATGCCCCAAGGCTTCTGAGAAAAGGCTTCCTGAAACACAAGGCAGGCGGACAGACGGCTATGCTGACCAAGTATCCAGAATCCGAGAAACAAGTGGGACCAAGACTGCATCCGTTTCTTCGTACCTTTCAATGGCAGCAAAGCCAGGTACCTTCATTTTCTTGCAAAAAAATATGAGAAAGCTGATCAGGTTCCCGCCAGGAGAAACCCCAAATGTCTGTGCTGAGCCGGGTCTGCGGCAGGCTAGCACAGTAGTGTTTTTCTTCCCTCCTCGTCTTGTTTTAACTTCCATGGAAACCCTTTCAGAAGGCAATCAGAAGGCTGACAGCACTGTCACACTTGGATGGTCCCATCTGTGAGCCTGCACCCCCCTCGTCAAAGTTCGTCACAATTATCTTCTCACAATGAAGACGCTTCTCTGCTCCTAGGATGAACTGATTTAATCAACTATCAAGGCCTCTTCACTTCTTTATTCAAAAATACCAAGGAGGATTCAGTTTCTGTTTATAAAGGCAACAAAATAGCAAGTCGTCTTTCTGGGAGGCATAAAATCTGTGAGATTAAAACAAAAATATAAACAAGCCCCCCACCCCGACCCTATTCTAATGCATTGCCATAGCAATACAATAAACGTTTAGGGACCGAGATTTCTCTCTCGAAGAAATCAAATTAGAGGAGTGCTCTGTGGGTTGGCAGTGAGCTCAGGAAATGCCTGGCTCCTTGGGAGTCCTTTCGGACTGAGAAAAGAGCAGTAGATTGATGTCAGGCGCCACTGAGCCAGCACTGACCCGCAGTGAGCCTCAGCCCGATGGACGGACTGCTGCCAGGTGCCCGCCACCTTCACAGGTGAGTGCCCACTGAGCCAGTGCTGACCCACAGTGAGCCTCAGACCAATGGACAGGTGCCTGCCACCTTCACAGGTGCGTGCTGAGTCAGCGCTGACCCGCAGCCAGCCTCTGCATGACGGACGGACGGACTGCCGCTGGGCGTCCTCCACCTTCAGGAGGTGAGTGCCCTTCGCTGCAGCCACTGCCTCAGCCCATCGTGCTGCGGGTCCTTCTAGGTTTTGCCTGTCCTCTAATTTTTACCAAACACGCTGCCGGTTACTGGCGACTGGCCTCTCCTGACCACAGGTCCAAGGTGACACGGAGCCCGCCATCTTGCGTCCAGGAGCGCTCTGGCTGCGAGTCTTCTGAGACAGGTGTGCGTTCTTTCAGCAATCTGCAGAAGGTTCTTCGCCAGCACGGCTCCAAGGCATCGACTCACCTTCTGTTTCCTTATCTGCTGTCCGGCTTTCACATGAAGCCACCGCACCTACGACGGGCTGGGTCAGGCACTCTAGCTCTCAGCTGTGGCACCTGCTCTTGGGCATTCTAAAAAGGTTCCAGGCAGCACACCTGTCGAGTACAGATGCTGTCGTCGTGTACCCTCGACCCATAGCTGAGGCAGGCTTTCAGAGGCAGTTCATCACATGGGAGGAGTCCATTCTTCCTTCAGGTCATTTCTCGCTTTACTGATGCCTCATTAATCATAAAGTGAGAGTTTCATAAAAATGGGCTGGAACAATAATAAAATTACCAACAGCACCATGGATTATAAGAAAGTAACTGAAAAAAAAAAAAAGGAAAAAAACAAACAACAAAAACCTACTACACAGCAGTAGTAACCAACGTCAACCACACTGAGGGTACAGGACAATGAGACTCTCACGTTATTACCTGGTCTTGAACAGTGAGCTCAGCGGCTAAGCCCAGGATCAACTGCTGAAACCCACTAGGCCCCGAGCAGTGAACCTGTGGCTGTCGGCTGCCAGACCACAGTGGAGACCCTCGGGCAGCATCACTGTCACAGGGACCACGGGGGAGACCCTCGGGCAGTGTCAGTGTCACAGGGATGATGGTGGAGACCCTCGGGCAGTGTCAGTGTCACAGGGACGATGGTGGAGACCCTTGGGCACTGTCAGTGTCACAGGGACCACGGGGGAGACCCTCGGGCAGTGTCAGTGTCACAGGGACCACGGTGGAGACCCTCGGGCAGTGTCAGTGTCACAGGGACCACGGGGGAGACCCTCGGGCAGCGTCACTGTCACGGGGACCATGGTGGAGAGCCTCGGGCAGTGTCACTGTCACGGGGACCACGGTGGAGACCCTCGGGCAGCGTCACTGTCACGGGGACCATGGTGGAGACCCTCGGGCAGTGTCACTGTCACGGGGACCACGGTGGAGACCCTCGGGCAGTGTCAGTGTCACAGGGACGATGGTGGAGACCCTCGGGCAGTGTCAGTGTCACAGGGACGATGGTGGAGACCCTCGGGCAGTGTCAGTGTCACAGGGACCACGGGGGAGACCCTCAGGCAGCGTCACTGTCACGGGGACCATGGTGGAGACCCTCGGGCAGTGTCACTGTCACAGGGACGATGGTGGAGACCCTCGGGCAGCGTCACCGTCACAGGGGGCTCGAGCCAGAGCCGACTTGAAGGCAATGTCTGGGATTATCTGGTTATCATCTCCTGAGTGCCGACATAACTGGTACATCTGAAAGATTTCATCTGGGCGTCCCAACAAGCACATTCACTGAATCCCCGCTTTTAATGTGGGTGAACAGTGCACATGGGGCAGGTGAAGTTCTTGTCCCAGAGACTTGAGAGCGGCCTGAAAACAAACCCCCAGTGGTGTGGACACCTGGGTGCGAGGCTCTGCTGGACTGTGGCCTCTGTGCACACCAGTCCTCACGCTGCTGTCAAGGCCAGCCGGCCCACAGTGACCACATGAACACCAGGCCTGAGCCCTGACCTATCCTGCGTCTTGCTCCTCATCCGACACCCTCTGGTGCTGCAGTCACCGTGTCAATCCACCCCACTCAGGCCAAACCTATGGTGAAGGTTAGTCTCAGAAAGGAAAAGAATTTCAATCGGAAAGTGAGGCAGTCGGGTCGCAAGAGCGAAGGGAAGGGCATTCTCACATGGAAGGGCGACGCCGTCTTCCCCCCAACGGTCAGTGCGGCCGTCTTCCCGTTGTGACTCTCCTTTGGTGTGTATTTTAAGACATGGCAGTCTTGTACCTAAAATGAAGCAGAACAGAAACAAAAAGGTCAGAAGAAATTAAGCACCAACAAGATTGCCACCAACCAAACCGAGGGCCCAGGACAGTTTGGAATCCCCGTCATCTCTAGCTAACAGCAAGCACAGTCTAATGTGTCAACCACAACACATGCAGAACAAATGGATACAATGTAAGTGGACAGTGAGCCAAGGGTCTGTAAGCTGTGGTGATGGAGGAGCGTCCCAGACAGCAACAAGCTGGGAACTGTGTGAGAACACAGATCCTCGGGCTGCAGTGCAGGCCCAACGAGTCAAGAACCAGTGCTTCACACGCCCTCTGGGAGCTGCTGGGGTGCCCTGGTCTGAGAAACGCCCTGAAGAGAAGCATCACCCCGACAGGTACGGTACTAATTTGCTCACTTTCACTAGGATTTCCACCTTGGAAAGGACGACACGATAATGTAGGCTGGTGCTGCCTGCTGTGAGCTCTGTGGAAGCCGACTGGGAATTCTATCTGTAAAGTCCACCCGCACTGCTGTGCGTGGCCGACTGGACTCGTGGCCGACTGGACTCGGAGCTCTGTCTGTGAGGTCCACCCGCACTGCTGTGTGCGGCTCTCAGCGGCCCCTCCTCGTCAGGCACCTCATCAAGTGACCAGGTCAGCATTCATTTTCCCAGCCGACTGCAGGCGGATGGTGAGGTGGGGTTAAGAGCAAGACTGTTCTAAACCCTGTGGTACATGTTTCCTGGCGCCCACCTGTTCCCATTTGTTATAATATTTAAGGGTGAAGATGCCGTCTCAATGTTACCAGGAGTGGGAACAATTTCCAACGTGGCCGTGTTATGTTCTCTCAAGTTGGAACCAATTCAGAGTCAACTCTCTGAGGTTCTCAGAGGCAATAAACAGCACGGGAGAAGGTCAGAACACTCCACAAGTCCCTGAGAGATCTGTGGTGACAGTCACAGCCTGATCACGCAGACCCTCCTTGCCTGCTAGTACCTGCAGCACTGAAGTGCACTGCGCTCAGCTCCTCAGCGCCTGTCCAGCCGGCACATGAAGCCCAAACGTTAACAGAGCTCAAAGGGAGGCGGGGAGCAATGAGCTCTCAATGGTACCAGTCGTCCTTCTGCGACAACGATGAAGACAACTCTAGGCAACATTCACTGGAAATGAACCACCTTAAATGTCTTAGATGCCTGACATGAATGTGCCTTTGAGTCAGGTCCAGGCTCATATCAGCTTTTATAAATGAGGGACAGTCCTCCAAATGACACAGCTGGGGCTCAGCTAAGAGCCGGACTCAACTGCAACCAGGGACGGTGGGCCGGCTCTTTACCTGCAGTAACGTGACCACATGCTCTTTACCGTCCTTGGTCCACAAGGGCATCATGCCCAGCTTCAGTGCAATCAGGCCAACTCGAACAGAACCTGG